TTGATTTTATAATTTAAGTTTATAGAACATGTCTACTGTATGCTGTAGAGGCAAATACGTCATGACTCGTTGGGGAGGGTTTGAAAAACTATGACAAACAAAAAGGTCCATATCAAAGACTTGTGAGGAAATTACAATCTCTCTACATATAATCTCGATTGCTACCTAGTGTAGTTCTAAATATATTATTATTTATAATTAGGTTTATCGCTATATCTATTATATTATAGGAATATTATGATTAGGTTACGAACAAAAWAAAATTAAAAAAATTATATATCTACATTATATTTGTAGGKAGGTTATACATGAATATATAATATAATTGAGTGTCTCTTGTCTTTATATATGCTATTTATTTAATTTATTTTAAGAAATAATCTATTTTCTTTAACTACAGGTACTTTTTTGTATTTAATGTTCAGTATGAATTGTACCATAAGTTGTTTAAATTTTAGAAATCCGCACATACCTATATCAAATGTATTATATAATATTATCAATATRAYAATATATMTTAATGAACATTATTAATTAAGCTAAATTATTACGTTTAACTATTTGTCTATCTGCAGGGTATCATATAATTTTTAAATAATATGAACTATTATGGAATTAAATACTTATATAATTCATTATACAGAGTGTGTAAAAAAACAAAAACATCAATTCAAGGAGGAAGCTGTAGCCGTATAGGTAGAAACATAAAAAAGATTGTACCTATATATGGCTACACATACTTTGTCGGTAACTGGTAAATAGAAGATAAGTCTATAATAACGGATATTGAAGGGGATGGATACTATATCACTATAGATTTAATTAAGATGATAAATGTATACAATTACAACTGACGAGGTGATTACATTGAAGATTGGACAATAAATTCAAATAAATTATTGCGAATACGCCGTAAGCTAGTTATTCCTAAAATAAATGTCCACAGCCAAATATTTTGGCTTTTTAATGAAATATTTTGGCTTAAGATAAATAACTTCTATTCAACGATTTGTCTAAAAAGGTTTATTTTGTAGAGTTTTAATTTAGGAAAGTTTCATAAGAATAACAATGTTAACCATTTAACATTTTTGTATGGGAATTTATTTCGTTTTATTAAACACTGAATTTAAAATAAAAAGTTGTTAAGCACATAAAATTTGTGACAGTGTTTTTTTAGCGTCGTAGGACAATACTGTACCTTTTTAAGCTTCRATGAATAGCCRGGGGACCGAAAGTTTTTGTAAAAATTAATCAAGGCATAAAAATTGTTAATAAATAATTATAATCATAATACCTTAAACGAAAACAAGAATGTTATATAACCAGGTAATCATATATTGACACTTGTGTTTCAATTCTAAGACTGTAGATTGTAAATGAATAATGATAGTTACAAAAAATAGTTGGTAAATACTCGTGAGTTGGCGTGGTTATCTATAACATAAAATAAACAACCGTAACAACACCTGTTATTAATTTAAGGTGTAGCTGGAATTGAAATAATTTAACGGTGGGGGTAATTTTGATTTCTTTTGCACCGGTGGAGAGGGATTGGTGGATCGGGGATCAAACAACCCGACGATCCCTCTCAGATACGCCGCTGCATTAATGTGCATCACACGTCGTGTTGCTGTCTGTCCGGTACGAACGCCGCGTTGACCAGTCCTTCCGGTACAACCTTTGATGTTTCCGATCGGTCCATTTTCTGCATGTCTACATCCGTCTGCTGATGCTGTTCAGAGCGCCTACCTCCACCGCYGATGGAAGCGCGTCGCTGTTCYCCACAGTCCGATGATTTCCATTTGAACGGTTTCCACTGTCCCGAATTGTAGCTCGGCCGCCGGGTCATTGACACCAGCACCACCGGTTGCGCGGCGTCTGACTTGCGTTGTGCCAACTGTTTGAAACCACCGCCGCCTCCGCGTTTGGTTGGCGTGTTCGAGTTCTGTCCTCCACCACCAAATCCTCCGACTTCGCTGCCGCCGTTTGACGTTGACCTCTGATGTACCATTCTGCACATAATAATATATCAATATTAAATATTTTGTCATAACTTACTGCATACGCGCCGACGCTTTGTTTGACACGTACAAAYACGAGAGTGTTAATTAAAACAATTAACTCGAGTTAGTCGAGTTGAGACAACGTACTTAAATTATAAGTCACAATTCACCAAATATTTACAATTCATTTTCCACTATATTGTTTAAACTCTAAAATTTTAAATATTTAAGTAAATATTAC